TTACAAGGGATTGTGTAAATTTTGTTTTAAACATCATTTACATATAAGTATAATTAATGTAACAATACCAATCAGAAATAAAAGCATATGTGGAAATTAAGTTGTCACTGCACATCAATATATTTAACTTCTGTCTGTTAGTTTAGGGTAACTTACCTTGATTTGCCTGTTTAATTTTTTCATGAGATTTGAACATCGGTTAACTTCTGTTGCCTATATTCGATACGGAATTGAGTATTTTTTGGTGTTTTTACCACCGAATTGTAGTCGAACTATCTAGGACATAAATAAATAGTTGACCATGTAGGATTCTAAATAGTTTTATCACTGAAGCATCAAACAAAACCCTGTAATATAATATCACATTTAATAACAACATATAAAATAATTCTTTTAAAACATGTATTATATCAATCTGATAAGTTTACGTTATTAACCAAGTAACTGTAAAATACGTCACAGTTTAGGAAATAAACAAAAGGTACAATTCAACCTTCTCTTATCAAAATATTACTTCATGTGACGTTTGAAACAAAGTAGAAATATAGTTGCTCATTTAGCAATAACATTATTATATACGAAAAAGCCGTTAAAACTATAAACAAAAAGTTTAAGAAATATTACATTACCATGATTACTAAAGCCAATAGCGAGACGCAGATAAGTAAGAAAGCTAAACAAAGCAAAATTACTAAGCAAATAAAATAACAAGCAACTACAAATGAACACTAATTCTTACCTCGTATCAGTTACAAAGGTTATGCCTCAACGTATATCTACATCATATGCATAACTATGTCATAATACCTGTATAACAAATGCTAACATATTGTTACTATGCACATACTTATATAGTACTTAAAATCCATCAATCTGAGACAAAAATGTAATAAAGACTCAGAAAAGTATTTATCAAGTTAACATATTACTCATTTACTCTCGAACTTATTCTGCTCAAATATTCGCCATTCGTTACGTACTTTTACACTTGTTTATTTAAGGCTTAAATTATGTAATTCAAAGTAAAATAATCATGTGCCTGTGTTAAAAGTTACGCTATCCTTTTAAATAATTTACAACATTCATTCAACAATCACACGATACACATTTTTACTACGGAGTCATGCTAAAATTGAAAGTTACTAGTGTGTGAAATACTGATTAATCCGGTAGCAAAATTACGATGGGAAAAAGATATAGACAGAATATCTAGAAAAAAGTATGCACACTGACCTGAAATAATGATTGAATTCCTCCAGTACAAATATATAAAATATGAAACAGCAAATGCCTGAAAGAAAATATATGATACGTGTGCTCGGTTTGAACATCAATCCAGAATTAACTATAGACGTCAATAGAAATAAACAGACAAAAGATATATGACCAATGATATAATAGAAAGTCTACGACCAAATCAAGCGTAAAAACATTGACCATCAAAATAGAAGAAATGAGTAACAATCAGGACGAAACTATTCATTCGTCAAAGTCTGTGAATATAAAACACAAATGGTACAACTCATAATTAATCACAATCTGGAATTAATCTATTAGAAAATGATAACACAAATATGTTAGGAATCAGATCATCTTTATTTCAAAGTAAATTCAAATGAAAAATTAAATACCTATAACAAAATTATATAAATATTTATTTAATCATCATTACACACACGCTAACATAGAAGTTATAGAGATACCTTATTTTCTGCAAAATTGTTAATGTACTTTTTTCCGTGTTTTTCTATTTCACTCATAGCAATTCTACATATATAGATAACAGAAGAATATTGTTAGTTATCTTGTTCAATCTTGATACATTTCAATAAGACTGTCGCAAAGGATGGCGAAAAAAGGGATATGCAAACAAATAAGTCGATAACAATGCAATGGCAAAAATCAAAAAAAAAACGTAAGAAAAAACAACATTACACAAAACACAACAGGAGGTGATTTCATGTGATGTAGAAATGTAAGCATATCATGCACTACATGTGACACCCGTCGTGTTGTTCATGTAAGTACAAACCGATAATAAGCCTGATTCAGTAGGTCACATTCGAGGAAAACCTTCGCAATTTAGAATATTGACTGCGGATAGTTAAATAATCAATTAACTTACCTTCAAAATATGTAATGGTTAACTATTTGTCCGAAAGGTTTTTTTTTTTTTAATTAGGGGTCTCAATACTCGAGACTGTCACATTATCATAAGTCTATCCGGAATTGTGGAATATGAAAACACAGTGTTTTATGATATCAATGAGTACAAACTGTGTTTGAATACCTTTATCAGACAAATATCAAGACCTAAACGCAGATATTGACATGTTTATATTATAAGAAATTTGGTGTTGATTGCAAGTTTTCTGGATTTAAATTTAATTTCAAGAATACTTTCTATTTTCTGGTACCCAAACATTAGTGGAGTGACAAAATAAGGAAAGAGTGCCAAGTTTCGAGATCAATGGACCGGCATACTTGCAGGATGCAATTAATATTGTTTGCAGAGTATATACCTTATTATCAATAGAATATTATAGAAAGTTATCATGGTGAAGTTATAAAAAAAAAGGAAAGTGTCTTCACCGAAATTATCCGAAACTAGAGCTCTGATTTGTAATCCTATTGTTTTCAGAATTTTTATTTTTCAAGATTTTATTTTATATTACACGTCCAGAGTATATATACATATCCTTCTATCCGTCGGTTGATTAAATCAAACGTTCGATTTTGTCATATTTTATGGATTTCCCCCCCTTTTTAATCTTCGAGTTCGATATTTGTAATATTACTTTTTTATCAATAGGGAAACTGTTTTTATTCTTTGTTAATTTATTTTGACATTTTCGTTTCATCTAGGAACCACTGTTTACACAAAGGATCATCAAAACGGGAGGATGGACTGCTCACCATTTCCAGAGCACATGAATTGTATGCAGCTCTTGTTCGTCACTCATTATTTGTAGACATAGTGTTCTGTGGTCTTTTATGTGACGAAAAGAAGTATGGTGTGCACACCAATAAGGGCAACCCAATACACAGAGAGATCAACATACTGTCTTCAACAATATTTTCCATAAGCCACAAACTGGCGCAAGTCAAAAGCGTTGAAGAAAGAAAATTTCAACTCAGACTATCAAAGATCTGACATCAACACCACACTCTCTATCACAAAATTTAAGATATGATTGTTTGATTGATTGGTGTTTAACGCCACTTTCAGCACTATTGTGCTATTTCGTGGCGTTCAGTTTTTATTTTCTGTGCCTGGAAAGAACAACCGACCTTTAGTTGGAAAACTGACAATCCTAGTCAAATAGAGCACACTTGCTACATGCGAGATTCGAACACGCAACATCAGTGTATAGACAGGCTAGTGATACAGTAGTTCAACTTCTTAGACCACTCGACCACTAAGGCCTCTATGTTATGATATGACATTAGTCAATTACTGAGGTTTCCGGACACGCACTTGGATATGCAGTGATACTAAACCATTTTTGTTTAAGATTGTCAACGATGGCATACATGTAGGATAATTTTTTTTGAAAATATATTCACAGAGCATTTCTTTTTAAAATATTGTGTTAAAGATGTACAATTTTAATACAATGCAAAAATGTCATGTGTCAAATCCAAGCACATCCAGGAAAAACATTTTATACATTTTAAGCCAATTTTCATAGTTACAAAAACAAATTTGAATAAAGAGGAATTAATATTTTAATGCAAATGTCGCTGAAGCAGCAATCTTAAGAAATAAACTAGCGGTTTTCTTTCAAAAAGGGATATTCCTATTGACATAGTCCATTATTTTTCAGAAAACAACTTCAAAAACATTGAAAAAATATATATCCATAAGGTGAAAACGTGGAATGCTTGTTAAGAGTGGAGTGAAGTTAACTACTAGTAATTTTTGGGGCCCTTTATAGCTTGCTGTTCGGTGTGTGCCAAAACTCCGTGTTGAAGACCGTACTTTGACCTATAATGGTTTACTTTTATAAATTTTGACTTGGATGGAGAGTTGTCTCATTTGCACTCATATCACATCTTCTTATATCTATTAAGTGAAATATCTAAAAATAACATAACTAATATGTAGAGAAATTTTTTACTGCATGCACAGATTGTTGTTTGTTGCTTTGTCCTTGCTGTTGAATGTCACTTTTCTTCGAATGGTGATTTTTCCTGTTTCATTTGTGTAATGTAGGTATTAGCTTTGATTTGAAAAGATTGATATCGAAGATATTTAAATATTAGATATGACTTTTTATTGATGACTAATAGTTCATAGTTAGTGACATGGATGCAATTGGTGGTATACTGTGGATAGAAGAGAGAACAAAATAGGGAACAAAAACTCGAATGACAACTTCGGGTCACAAACACTTGGTAACAACAAGCATACAATATATCAGCTCTAATAAAATAATCAACGATTTAATGTGTTTTCGATGCATTCATCCCACTCAACACTCGCCTGTTCTGAGCAACATGTTTACTCCTGATATCATATAAACAACTTGAAACCAATAATATGTTCATAAGTACTCACGTTAAAGTAAAGACCGAAAAATAAATTGAAAAAAAATAAGTTGGAACGCAGTGGAACGCAGTTGATCCTCGCGCGTATAAAAAACAGTTGGAAGTAATATTTCAATTAAAATTCGAAGTTAAGGAACATAAAAAACAAAATATTTAAAAAAAGTTGTGACAAATAATCGGCGAATAATCTTCAATAATTGAAGGATCGCTAGAAACTTAAAGAAGAAATAATGCTAGAGCTATATATAATTTTTGTGGGTAGAAAACCTAAGGGTTTCGAATAATTTTTAAAACTGTAAGTTTAGAGAAAAGGACAACAGTGTGTAAATAAGTATATATTTTGATAAAATGATCATAATTTTCTGAATATATATAATTCAAAGAACAAAATATCGATTGACATTAACTAGACCATTATCATAATTTTTTACTGAAATTATATTTTTCTTAATGATTTATCGTCCTTTGTTAATTACTAGTAAGTACCTACTAGTATCTTATCTTAAACGGGCCTTGATTTTGTTTAAATACGACGTTAATTAATGATGGAATTTTGTAAGTGTAATCTATTTGTAACTCGGACATCTAATCAGGGTGATATAACAGATAGGACTTGTTAGAGACGTTCCACAACACATATAATATTCGATTGATAATGTTTTTGTAAGCTGAGTGTTTACCAAAAATATGTTGAAAGAATGTATTTGTTGTATAAAAGTTAAATGTTATTTAAAAACAAACAAGTAGTTAAGATGCCTTGTCGTATATGCCGATGGAATTGCTGTTGTCATGGTTTTTATTTGTCGAATATGAATACTCCTCTTCAATCACTGAAAACGACTGATCATATAAACCGTTTCCATCATTGCATTTTCCTTTCCCGAAGTCGGAACTATCATATGTTTGGTCATCCTCATTTCGAGGTGCACCATGACTATGATACAAATGTTCTTGTGGACTAATTCTTCGATTTTGTATATCATGTAAATGATCATATTCTCCATATCCTGCATCAGTGTAGGTATCGTTTATATTTCCCGGTGTCTTTATCTTATTTACTACGGCATATACTGCTGTACTGTTTTCTGCAAGTCCGTGAGTCTCGTTTGATGTTGACGTTGTACTTGTTTTATCTGTTGTATTATTTGAATCTTGATATGCTATTTTTGAAAATTGCATCTTACTAGTTTCTTGTTTATTTTGTTTCGATGTTTCTTTAAAAACTCCAATTGACCTGAAATCCAAAGTAACATTAACATATGGTTATATGTATAGAATATGAAAAACTATGAAGACAAATACCTTTATGAATATCTGTATCTTTCATCAGTATAACGGTTATTGAAATTTCCTACAGATTGCTTTTTTAAATTTCCCCAATTGTTATATATAATGGCGGATTTATAATTTATGTAAGTGTTCTCTTGTTCTAACAAAAGTTCTTTCTTTCCACGTGATCATATAACAGTTGCAAATTTATTAAGACGTTTAAAAACTGTTGCAAATATAAGATTTGCATTTGTGTCTCTTAAAATATAAGGTGTATATGTTTGCGTCACAAATAAAATTGAGAATGGAAATGGGGAATGTGTCAAAGAGACAACAACCCGACCAAAGAGCAGAAAACAGCACAAGGCCACCAATGGGTTTTCAACACAGCGAGAAAATCCCGCATCCGGAGGCGGGCTTCAGCTGGCCCCTAAACAAACATGTGTACTAGTTCAGTGAAAATGGACGTCATACTAAACTCTTAAACATATAAATGAACTATGCCCGTGTATGTTGTGACGTTTTTGATTTTAACAAACGTAATCTATGTTTTACTGGTAAATTATTAAGCCAGGGATTACGTTACCACAAATTACTTAAAACCTTTACTAAATTCTTCCACAGATATAAAGATTTGGTTTTGAAGTTTGGTTTTACCTGTAGAAAACCTATTTCAAACGGTAATGAAAAACATCCTCATTTTTACGGCAATATTGTTTACCGTGCCCGGAAATTTAAAAACGATCCTGGTAAACTTATTGATCCTTAAAATAATCTTATTCTAAAAGGTTATCAATTCAACACTGTAATTAGATCATTACAAATTGGTACTGATATTGATTTTGTTATCAGTAAATTAAAAGCAAACTAAATATTATTGTTATATACATATACACATACATGGATCTACAATCTGTCGATACTTGTATCTTGGCATTGCACAATGTCATGTTTTTCTCTGACTGTTTATGACGTCTTTACACTAAATCCATTGGATGTTGGATGTGTACGGATTGATAATTTAGTCTTAGATGCATGATTTTTTTTATAAGTTGTTAGTGGCTTTGAACTAGTCAGTATCTGCGAGTACTCTCAGATCTGAACTAAGTGTCTTTTTGTTGTTTGGATATACAAGTACTCGGCCTAGTCCACTTGTATTTGTAGTATTTGTATTTGTATCCGTCTGATGAGTTAAGCCTCTTTCAACTGATTTTTATAGTTCGTTCTTATGTTGTACTGTTACACCACTGTCCTAGGTTAGGGGAGGGTTGAGATCCCGCTAACATGTTTAACCCCGCCACATTCTGTATGTATGTGCCTGTCCCAAGTCAGGAGCCTGTAAATCAGTGGTTGTCGTTTGTTTATGTGTTACTTATTTGTTTTTCGTTCATTTTTTGTACATAAATTAGGCCGTTAGTTTTCTCGTTTGAATTGTTTTACATTGTCATTTCGGGGCCTTTTATAGCTGACTGTGCGGTATGGGCTTTGTTCATTGTTATAGGCCATACGGTGACCTAAAATTGTTAATTTCTGTGTCATTTGGTCTTTTGTGGAGAGTTGTCTCATTGGCAATCATACCACATCTTCTTTTTTATATATAAAATTAAAAATCATACAAGACTAACAAAGGACAGAGGCTCCTGACTTGGGACAGACGCAGACATGTCTTTTATGAAATGCAGAATAACACAAGCAATATCCTTTCATTCTTAAATAGATTATGTCAAGCATTGCGCTCTGCAAAAAACCTTGCTCACCTTACTTTACATACTATCAGTACAGCTAACAAAGCAACTACAGAACAAGCTCCTAGTAGTCCACCAATTACTGCACCTATGAATTTTACATAATTAAAAATTATATATATATAAATGACCGATAAACATGAATATCAAGCCAATTACAAATATCGTTTCATATGTTTATCAAACGTATCAGCTCTTGTAGTGGGCATGTAGTGTTATGGGCAATAATAATCAAGTGGTAAAAAGTTGAAACACTTGTCGTTGACTATTGACGGAAATGTTAACAAAATAATAGGACCAGATCCTAATGAGAAGTTTTCAATATTTTATATCTATTTATTTTGATGCAAGAGACCAAAAACCAATACGCACCCCTCAGAATGCGTGCTTAAATCATGAACAGATAAGATATTCATTAATCAGCACACGTTCATCAATACAAATAATTCCCACGGTGAGTTCAATAAGCTGTTTTTATTTAACAACAGCCAATTGTATTCTATTTTCATTTATATCATTTGTTTTTACATTTTAGATATTTACTTATCGTGGGACTGTAGGTAATAACTTAATGTATCTATAGCAGAAATGAAAGTTCCTCAAACTTTGTAAACGCAAAAAAAAAAGATTATTATTACTTTTAAGGACACAGTTATAACAACATTTAAATGATAACGAAACTTTTACAAAACCTTTTCACTTTTATTACTTACTGTTAGGATGAAACAATGAGTAGGCAATTTTCAGTTAAAAGTGTACACCTTTTAATAACCATTGCAATAAGCAACAGTTTGTATAGAGCGGACAAGTCTAAATAGGAGTGTGCTCCTGATGCAAAAACTCTTCGAAATGGGCTACATGGAAGCTGGCGGAAATAGACATTGTATAAGTTTCATAATCACCATCACGAATTGATTGACAAATACGATGTGTCTGTGTCCAAACTCGATAGCGTTATGTTTTCACGGTCTTCAATCTCTAGATACCAGAATAGACGTCTGATCCGTATTCTATTGTCTCTTTGTAATAAATTAACAGTTGCTTTTTTTTATATTACGAACTTTCCGTCTTTATGAAGCAGCATTTAAGTCGCGTCTACATATTGGATATATATGTCCTCGTTCATACAATTGTTAATGTTCTTGTGTTTCCCAATTGACTTTTCTCTAAGAGGACTTGTTACTATAGGAAAGTAACTCAACTAAATCATCCTTATGAATTAGATTAAAACTAAATAAGTAACTGAATTGGATTACTGCTACAAAATCAGAAATGACTATCTATTGCTCTTTATCGTAATTGAGGACTTACAGTTGATGCTTCTTATAAAAGGACTGGTAATAAGATTGGTGCCACTTATGAAACAAGAACTGTTTACAATTATAGAAATCTTGGGTCAAATCTAGTTTTTTTATAGGATTTGTTTTGTTTAATTCTTCGATTTCTGTTTAGTTTTTAAGGACTGTTGATTTATCTGATTATTGTTTGCCATTGTGTTGTCGACATATGATTTAGCTTACATTTTTTACAATGTAGTATGTATTCAACGTTTTACTCTGATTCATATATTGCATAAAACGTAAGATTATTGGGATTGAAAAACAAGCAGAAAGTAAAACATAGATATGTTTTAAAAAACAAATTATTCAAATACATTCTCTACTCACCGATAATTTTTGAGTTACTTCCTTGTTTGCTATCATTTATTTTCTGTTGTGGTTGTTCACTACTTTTAGTGCCTCCTGGTGAAGCAGTGGAATGCATGGAAGACGAAATACGTCCTATAATGTAAAAAAAGAGTGAATGAGGATGTTATACGGTATTTGGACACGAACACCACGAAATAGTGCATGTACTTTTCCCCATACTTCTTGATATTGCATTTGTATATATAAAGTATATGTAAGAAGTATTTTATTTGTTATTTGATGATCATTCATGTTTTAAATTGTCACAGTATAATATGGATTATGCCCAATCTTTTTATTGCTTATTTGTTGCTGCAAATAAGGTTCACCTAAATCGTTCAACGGAAAGTCGAATTTTAAAGTACGTATATTATACTGCTATCCCCTAAGAGCGCTTATCTCCGATCATTATTTATCCCGAAATCCAATTCAGTCCTTAACTGACTCTAAATGCTAACTATGCTGATGCTTAAAACAAAGTATTACTTCTGCTATGTCAGAAATCACCGAAATTTAGTAATGCAGCAAAATTAGAACCTGCTCATAAGCCATTTTAAGCTGATAGAACAGGAAATTGATTGCGAACGATTTGAGCCGATAAGCTTAAAAGACTGTATGTTGGTATAGAAATAATAATAATATATTCAATTTACATTTCAATGCCAATTGCTTGTCTGTTAAACTGGATTTATCATACCTCATAAAATGGAATATATTGTCAATTTGATAAATTAAAAACATCCCATATCCTGGAGTATTATACACCTTTTCGAGTTGGTCGTAATGCTACACGGTTCGCTTATATCATAAAAATAACAACTACATGTTTATGGCAGTCGCAAATATTAAATTAGAGTTCGCAACACATGCAACAGTCATATATTCGATATATACAGTGGTTGATTCATGAATATGTTCAACATTCAGCAGCAAATACTACAAAGCATATTCTCTGAAAGTTGAAATGCGCATTCGATAAAATAAAACTGGTATCGATAATTACATTATAAAATAAACGTTTCCTCAGTAGTAAAAAACCTTAACCTAAGAGTCCACAAGGGTCATGCTATCTGATATGTAAATTGGTTGATTAAGGACTGCTCAACATCAAGTGGCTAATATTAGCAGGACATATTCACAACACTTGATTATGATAAGACAAATAGTTTGTAATATGTTAGAACGGTTTCTCATTCCTATTGGAGAAGGTATAAACAGTCCACACGAATAAATGCTTACTTAGTATCCTCGATTTCTTTTTATTTCTTTTTAAGTTTATTCTATGTATATACACGATTATTTCATACTTAATTTTACATTAGCGCACTGCATTTTCTTACCTTTAACTTTAATTTATTTTTGTTCATTGATATTGTTTGATTCTGTGTTAACTTGTCCCTAGTTTTTAAAAGTCTCTTTAAAGTGTCTATCCATATATCCTAAACCCCTTCATATTTCTTTCTAAGGAAATTTTCCATATGACATGGATAATGCCTTTGTCCACCGCCTATTTTGTCTTTTGGTCTGAAGAGTGTTTAGGTTTTTCCTTACGAAAGCATGGACTTTGCAATTGCTTATTGTATTACCAAATGAAGCACATATGTCCAGATAGCAGTATTTACATTGAAGAGATATCCTGTTTCTATTTAAGTTATAACCTTATATTTTGTTATAAACTTAGTTAATGTCTATCTTGAGTTAGTACACCAATGTTCAGTTTTGTATATAGATAAGGACGGGTCAGGGTAGATATTCACATTTGGTGTATGCATTGTTCCCCTTTTGTGAAATAGATCTGAATGCTTTTCAATATAACGTTTATCTTTTATTATTTTTCCTATTTCCTGATGTTATTCCTCTGTTGGTTCCGTCGTAAAAAATATATCGCTTTGATTCGATATGTGGTTACGTATCATGTTTTAAAAAGGGTAAACAATGGCATTAGTTGCTATGTTAAATCATCTAAAATCCTGCGACTTCATACCTCAATTATTTTACCTAACAGTATAGTTTATTATATTTGATAAAGAAATAGTTCATGCACATTATCCACATTCCCTGTAGCGAATGCAACTAGTCAATAAAAGTTCACGTGTCAGCAATAGTGCATGAATATTACTGTGAAGCAGCCCATTGACAAATCCGAAACATAGGTGTGTATTCGTAGCGTTTGATTAGGCAAGTGTTGTTTTTTTTTGCTTGTATGTATTGTTTCTATTTGTCTTTTAGTCTTTTGGTTATTATCTGGGTTTTTTGTTTCTTTTTTTGCAAATCTGTTCATCGAACATACATAAATTGTGGAAATGTTCAACTCTAATGATTTGTGCCCTTTTCAAATGATTTTTATAGTTTTTTTCTTATGTTGTACTGTTACACCACTGTCCTAGGTTATGGAAGAGGGGTTAGCGTCTTCAAACATGTTTAACCCCGCAACATTCTGTATGTGCCTGTCTCAAGTCAGGAGCCTATAGTTCAGTTGTTGTTGTTGGTTCATGTCTGTCATATTTGTTTGCTTGAATTGTTTTGATATAAATTAGGCCGTAAGTTTTCTCAATTGAATTGTTTTTCTCATTGTCGAAGGCCGTATGGGTGCTTACTTCAACTTCATTTGAACTTTGGTGGATAGTTGTCTCATTGGCCATCATACCACATCTCCTTATTTTCATGTAGTAAAATGATAACGGCAATCGCATATGAAAAGGGGGATGGGATTGAACACAAAAGAAGGAAAATTTCTCAATATTACAGAAATAATACAAAGAGTTATTTAGAGTAATATAATTTGCCCGGTCAACAACATTTACCTCTTCCAGATAGGTCATTTTTAACACGGAACACGTTAATATTGGCCTACAATTTATGGACCTTCCGAAGAAGGAAATCGTATATTTAATTCTCCTCCAGGTTTATTTTAGGACATCCTTTGCAGCAATACAGATGTCATGCGTCTCAGTCTAAAATGCTTAGTAGATTTTGCAGTGGCACTTGAACTGTTAATGCCATAATGTCAAATGAGTCGAGTTTATGCTTTTGCTAGTGGGATGATGTTCCTCGAGGAAATCACCAACCCAGTCGCCAATACTAAAGTACTGGCATTCGAACACGGATGTTGTTAAATTCTTTGTTGTTCGCAAGGAGAAATATTATTCACATTAAACGCTGTTTTATGAATTACTCTTATTAATCTTTTGTGCGCCTACGTTGGGGCGGGGATTTTGTGACACCATCAGCTTAAGGTGTAGCAACTGACAAATTAGAACTACCCAGACTTAAATGTGTTAAAACTGTATGTTATTTACTGGTTTGTTTGTGTTCTGCTTGTTATAGATAACAAAAAGAAAACATTAAAAAATTGAAAAAGTGGATACCTTATAATATTCACATATTTTTAAAATGAATTCTATAATGCCATCTGAATACAAATCATGCTTGTTTTATATTGTGGATACAGATAGCTTTTTATTAAAACCCTCTTGTCTTCACTTTTTGAACATTGTTATGTCTAGGTATAAGTTTTTCAGACTGACTAGGTTCTTATTTTCTTGCAGATTTAGATTTCAGTCGGGTTGGTCCATTGAGTCTAGTAAACCATTTAATATATCAAAAATGTATTTGAACTATTTCATTTTTTCGGGCTATATGTATTTAATTCCGGAATTAATCACAATTTAACAAGGCTATTCGGAATCGATGAGTTAATTCACCACTTACAAAAGTCTTTTTAAATGTCTTGTTGACATTAAACGATAAACTTTTGCAATCAGATTTACTATCTGTTATATATAAAAAAAAAACACTTACCTGGTGATAAGGTTGTATCAACTGTTTTATTATATGTCATCATGGATTTGGATGAAACATATTCAGTGCTCGTTGAAGTGGTAGATTGAGATGTAGCTGTTAATGGTTAAATGACTTCAATTTATGATAAAAAAGCAATAAATGATATACAAAAATGACAATGCAATTATAACCATTGATGTCTCCTTAAGGCGTTAGTGCCCTTAGATGACGTTTTGACAAAAAACGAAAAAAAAACAACACAATATTAAAAACGAAAAAAAATTGAGAATGAAAACGGGAAATGTGTCAAAGAGACACCAACCCGACCAAAGAGCAGAAAACAGCCCATGGCCACCACTTGGGCTTCACGCAGCAAAGAAATCCCGCACCAGGAGGCGAGCTTCAGCTGGCCCCTTAACAAAAATGTGTACTAGTAAAGACTAATTAACACGAACCCCCCAAAAAAACTCGGTGATATCTGGGACAAAACCGAAAACAACCTCTCCAACGCTCAAAGTTTCATTACAGTAAACGTCATGGTAAACTGATGCCCAGATAAACGTTTCAAAACTATTTATAACTTATGTTAATATGTAAACAATTGCTTATATTAGATTTGTCTTTTTTATATAAATACATTACTGGTTCAAACTTACCATTCTTACACAAATACCAATGTAATCCTTTAGAACAATCCCTTTTAGTTTCGTTCAGCTTCCATTCACCATCATGATTCACTAATTGACCTGCTAAACATTGCAGTGGAATTTCGTTCCCAACTTCCGCTGGAATATATTATTATCTTAGAATGTCTTAGTTCACACCAATTAAGAGAATAAATAAGATAGCTACGCAATTGAGGCATGTTCCACGTCGCATTGGAAGGATGCAGCATGATTGTCTCAAGAAAACACTTTGATTGTACAAGTTTCAAAAGAAAACCATTTACAGTTAAATTTGTTTGATCAGTTAGAGCTCAAACGTGCCATGGTTCAAATGCAAAATGTTAACAAAAAAACGTGACCTACAAAATGTAGCCCATTTAATCCTGTTCCTTGGCGACCTTGAAGAAATGGTTAAAGGTCCCAGAAAAAACGCATTCGTTCAGTGTTGCTATGCTACATAAAGTAAAAATCCCATCAAAGATACAAGACTCGCTTTTTGTATAATCACGATTTTAACATGACCCTCTTACAAAAACAGGTGGAACTTCAAATAATTTCCAAATTAATGAATTCTACAAATTTATGTGACTAAGGCTATTTATGTATGGGGTAGAACAAACTAAGAGCAAATTTTATTAAAATGATTTTAACATCTTATGAAACTGAATTAACACAACATGACCACATCAAGCATGTCAAGGGTGTATAATGTTATCAAAGGACTGCTGTCTTCTGCATTGATGATCTAATACTCTCGGGACCGAATCAAAAATATCAATGGTAACATTACAAATGAAAAAAATGATACTCAGGTCGTTTACTACATATACTGCATAATATCACTTCTAAGAATATTAACCTTTTTTACAAAACGTTAAAAGATTTTGAGTTCTCGAAACATCATTATGCTTCGATAAAACTTAAGGCAAATAAAGTTAAATACTTAACTTAAAAAAACAATGAATCAAAATGCTAGTGTTATATGGTAAACTACACATTACTAGATGACAAACAATTAGACTGAGTATGATAGCTTAAGGACAAATTGTCGTAAGGAAGTATTTTTTTTTTAAATGGTACAAATGAACGAATACTATTATTTTGGCAAAAGATACCAGAGGGACCTTCTGACTCATGAGTCAAAAATAAACTGACATCGCAATGGCAAAAAAGAAAAGATCGAATGACAAACAACACTATACAAAAAAAAACATTACAGAAAGCTAAGGACTGAGTAACACGAACACCATCAAAAACCGGGGATGATCACAGGTCCGAATGGGTAAACAGATCCTGTTCAACATGTGGCACCCGTCGTGTTGCTCTTGTAAGTACAAACCCGGTGATAAATCTAAAACGGTAAGCCAAATTAGGGGAAAAGGAGGAAGGGATTGTGGTTACGATGATTGGAACATTGCTGTCGTCATCTGTGAAAAAGATAGTTCATAACGGTCAACCAACTCGTGATGTCGCCCGTAAAATTTTCGAGATATGATCTTAACTTAACCACTTGGAACTGTTGGTTTAATAGCTTCCTTGTGAGAAGCAATCCTCTATCAAGGAAATCATGATAGGAAACGCTAGCCTTGGAATATTGTATTAACCGGGAATAGATATACTTCATATGCATGCGCTGCTGAAATGTTGTTACATAGATATAGAAAGTTCACAATTGGGAAGTTAATATCATTTCTTTTGTTGTAAAGTTTGGGTCTCAACTGAACAATAGTTTATTAGCAATTAATTTCACGCTTTTGAAACATGTAAACATTTATGTTGCAATTAGAAAACTTATTACACTGAATTGCGCGGGATTCCACCAAAGGACGTGTTTAATTGAATGGCAATTTGCTAGTTGGTTGATAGTGACATTGTACTGTGTGGTTTGTTTTTCAAATCAATTTATCTCATGTAGGGAGTATTTCTTGTCTCCTAGCGTTCCTTTGGACGTGCAAAAATATGATCCCGGCTATTAAACTTTTCAATTGATACAATCGTTGCTTGTTTCGCACTCGGAATCGTCAATGGTATAATCATGATATTATTCAAAAAGCAATGCACATTTCAATTCGGTATCATAGGTCGATTATGTCGATAAATTATCATGCACACATTGAGTTAGATTTTTCACTTGATAGATAATTAGGTATTGCCGTTAACATAAAGCGGCAAGTCATATGTTGTTTAAATGTGTTGTAGTGGTACTAAAGTGGTAGTAGCAATTGTAACAGTAATGAACAAATATAGTTGCTTTTGATTTCCTATTTCCACGTGTCTGCATTTTGTATTTGCGTAAAACAAAAGTTCAACTAAATGTATATATATATATATATATATATATACATATTGGAAAGAAAAAAAGTTCACATGCACAGAATTATATATCTATGAAAAAAACAATAGAAAGTGAGTTAAAATATTGTCGGTTGTCTAGAGGCTTTCATCCTTCTGAAGGGACTTTTGAAGGGAAATGTCAATGTCAAACTGACAATGTTTTAAACTCACTTTATTTTGTTTTTTTCATAAATATATACATATATATACCTTTCGAAAGCTGACAATGACAGACATTACGGAAAACGTTTGTCCAAGATATAGTTCCTTGGTCCCAATTTTTCGAACAGTATGTTGAAGGTTCTAATAACAATGAGTTTTGGTCCTTGATGCAATAATTACAGCTTTTTAAATACGGCTTTGTCCATACAATCTCTTCATTTCCTAAATATATTAAAGAAGATTACAAATAATATATACACTTTTCTTCTTTCATTGTAATGTAGTATTCGCTTTTTATCGCCATTGCGAATTAATGAATCAACATGAAGCACAATACCAAAACACACAAAAAATAAACAAAGACGCAACATGTTCAAGACTATAAGTCCTGCAAACCGGTTACAAAATTGTGGGTTTGGGGATAAAAAACACCAAATTTGACATGGTAGTAGTTCTGGGTGTTTCAAACAATATTAGCCATGAACCCACCTTGAAATTTAAAAATGGCGGCTATTTCCAAGATGACCACCATAAAATGATAAAATCAGCATATATCACTTATATAAGGTCACATTCAAGGTCAAATCTGGCATGATAGTAGTGCTAGGTGTTTCGAAAAATATTAGCTATGGACTTAAATTGAAATTTTAATATGGCGGCTTTTTCCAAGATGGCCGTCATAAGTTATCAAAATCAACAAATATCCTTATAGAAGGTTACAAGGTGTTATGTTTTGAGGTAATTTCAGTAAAACTTAGTGCCCTATAATACCAAGTGTAAGCCATATTTATATACTAATTGAAAACCGTATATTTTTTTTTCTTGCCATACATTGCTTTATTCAAGTCTAGACATCCTGGTTTTGATATTTCAGATATTTTTTTAGGGGGAAATATCTGTCTTCTTGGGTACTATCATCCCGGAAGTAAGTGCTGTGGTACTGGCATCTGGTGAATATAATGTCGATTATTCAAGAAACCACTATTGGACACACGAAAGTCGGTGTCATATATTGTGAACAAATGTATGAAATATTCTATTCATAAAGGTAAGTTAAAGAGTTGCCCAATAACTACCTAACAGTTTTAACATAAATATCCTGACTATATTGCCGCTGACTTGTTCTGTATAAGACTTTTACCAAAAAACGAATGTCGATAAAAAACAAGAATATAATAGAAAAAAAGAAATACAGAAATTGCAAGACAAAATTAAATGTACAAAAACAAATTTGAAATGTTGTTTGAGGCTATTACAAAAATACATCTTTCCCTTAGAACAACGCATAACGATGCCATTGTTGACCACAGTATATGTAATAAATAACCAAGAGAATTAAACAATTTGCTCTGACTGCTTAAGAATAAGCCTAATAAAAACAAAATGATATCTGAATCATATTATAATTGTTAAATTCTGAAAATATGCTTTTCCATTATTTGTTCTGGGATATCATATATACCTTGTTTTAATCCCAGGTATCAAAATATCGGATCAGGTTGTCTAAAGATTTGGCCGTGTAGTGTCGCCTTTGTATACATTTAGAAGATGATACACCCGATTTATTAATGCGTGTTGATGTCAAATGTTGCTTACAAATTGGTTTGGAAAAATGGTACGATGATGGTGCGAATACAGGAGGAACTGCCAATGCGTAACCCCCGATTTTTAGTTGGGTTCATGTTCCTTAGTCACTAGTTTTCTCTGTAGTTTTTTTTTCTTTTTTTTCATGATATTGTCTGTTTTTGTCAACTTATCGTTTTGGTTGCCCCTTTTATCTTTTCTCTACTTGCAATCGAAATTAGTTTATAATGTTTTATGAGACTTTAGTTACATAATTCCTGCAATGTTTGTAATAAAATGGCTTTTACGTAAATGTAGGTAAAAGCAGTTTACCAGTGTTCAAATCTCATAAATCGATTAAGAAGATATATATCATCATATCAAGGTAACAAGTACAACATATTGAAATCTCGTAAACTCTGAATAGAGCGAGATTGGGAGTGTAAACGTCCCCTACTATATATGCATCACTTGACCAACAATTCCAATTTCAAAACGACACAATCGAGAATAAGCCACAGTGAGTAAATATATATCAGGTTTATTCCGGTATGTTGAGAACTAAGACGGCTAAAACATGCTGCTAGTCATTTCAGGCATAAACACTTCTTATCAGTCAACCAATTTGTGATGTTGACCGCAACCCTATTAATAAAACCCAAAAAGTGTGAGCATGTTCGAACATAAAGTTTTAATAGTAGTATGTTAACACCACTCTATGAGGCAGTGGCTATGTTACTGCTGAGAAATAGCAATAATTCAATCTAAAAAGGCGAACAGTAACATGTAGAAAATTCTTCAATAAGAATAATAATAGACGTGTTACGAAAAGTTATATACTCGACGCTGAGGTTGACAAGTTAGACTTTAAATGTGGGGACTGTGTCAAAACATTGATTAACGATTAAAACAGGTAAAATTCAATTTGCGTGATGTTAACCAGGTATCCTATACACTTCTTTCGTTCATTCGAAATTATATTAATTTAGAAAGATTATTTTCTTATATCGTTGCTTATGATTAAAGGACGGGAAAGGTGTAACGTGTTCGTAGGAAGGGGTTGATGGTAATTCAAGTATGCACTTCTAGATTTGAAAAAAAAATCACATAATAAGACAGTTTGATTTTTTTTATAATAATTACTGTTCTTCAAGCATAATTATCAATCTGATACTCCACTACTTAACCTCGTCCTAAAAATGCATGAAATATTTGTCACTGGTCTTATAACAGACAACATTTAATCGACCTCTACTAAACCCGAACAAAGCTCCACAGTCTGCTCTGGTTGATTTTGAGTTTGAAAGTTTTTACGCGGCTAATAGCATGTTCAACATATATTCGAAATCCCCAACGATAACTTTTTTTCTGCACTTGGTCTACATGTATCTCTAAGTTTACGACGCTTATAGAAGATAACTAACGGAGAACGACATGCGGTATATTTATTACATAAAATGACAAAATCCTCGGGGAAATCTAATTCCATACCTGGTCAATTGAAAGCAGTAAATTAAACTGTTGAGCATCATCCTGTTGTCCTATGAAACTACTGCGTGTGAATTTTAAAAATATAATGCACATGATTCCTATATATTGTCCACAAATACATGCATATGTATGCAATGCCGGTATGTGGAATAAAACTGTGCCCGAAGCTCCGTGTGTGGTCTGTAAATGGCATGACAATTGCTGTCAATTGCCCCTAACGATGTTGGCAGTTTATGGTACCAGCCACGTAGTTATAGCAATTTTTCTACGGTCGACTGAGAAGTAATCAGTGTATAGATTTCACAAAGAAATGGCATCTAAGCATGTATTTGTGCACTTGAAGCATGAACAGAAACCTCAAAGAGAAATATACTGAAATATGTATTTAGGATGTCAAACAAACGAGCGAAAAACGAGTCACATTTGACATAGTACCCATACAAGAGGAATTACAATTTCAGTTTAAACTTTTTTTTCCCTAAGACTTAGTTAAAGTTAAAGTTAAAGAAATAAACAAAGAAACAACATGCCTTAGACTTTTTGGACTGTTTGAACGGCTTGTCAAACGGGTAATACAATTTTAGACCTCAAAACTACACTTCGAAATGTTTTAATAGTTATCAAAGGTACCAGGATTATAATTTAATACGCCAGACGCGCGTTTCGTCTACATTAGACTCATCAGTGCATGAATATATATAGGATGTCTTGTTCTAAAGATTCTCATTTCGTTGGGTCGAACCAGTAACATTTTACATAAAAATTATATAAGGGAAACTAAGCTTTTCCTGAGTAGACTTAAACAAATTATTATATTTTAAATCATTTTAAAGATCTATAGAGGTGTCATGTTGGTCATATGCATGATATACAATTGCCAAAAATTAACAAAGGTTCAAACTCTGAAAAAAGGCAAACTATATCCAAAATGAATCCATAAAGGAATTGCACATTTTCTATGTATATAGATACCGCAGCATTGTACAAAGTTTAGAAGCTCCTAGGTTAGGAGTTTAATACTCAAAACGGGTATCCTCTTCTCCCGCTCGAAGATAAGATAAGTCGGTTCTGCATTATTTGTAACACGCCCAAAAGTTCTGACCTCGGGTAAACCCCCCCCCCCCCCCCCCCTTTAAGTTAAATGGTCCGTCGCTGCTGATTTCGAAAACTCAAAAAATTCAAATAGCAAGTAAATATTTATTTTATTTATAAGGATTGGTGGGGGCGGGGTTAGGGGTTGTTTCTCTCATCTATTTCTTCTTTTTCTCAGCTTTCCTTCTCTTTTTTCTTCTGGATTTTATATCCTTTCTGCAATACTCTTGCCTCCTGTCAGTGTTCCAAAAGGAAGACATATCATCGGATTCATTATTTTAATTCCTAAATAAATTATTGTTATGGACTTTTTATTCCATTACAAATATTTAAAATGAAATGTCCATAATAAAGAGATCAAAGGGACGTCTATTATAAGGAACAAATATACGTGGACATCAGTACTATGCAGTATAAACACAAAATTCAATTGATACACGGGTAATTTAAATCTTTACATCACTTTTGTGTTTTGATACAATACCCGCATTTAAAGTCTAATTTGCCAACCTCAGCGTCGAGTATATACTATTTCGTAACACGTCTAATAGCGTTAACATGATTAAGAAACATTTTTTTTAATATAAATCAAGCCTATCTCATTACTTAGTTAGTGTTTAATCACATAAAAACAAATATAAAAAAAAACACACGCAACACATTATACACCAATTTCGAGTTTCTGTTTTTTTTGTAATTTTTATAAGAAAACGTCAATTTTGGCGACAAATTTACATAGGTATATAGGGAAAATGCCTTTTTTTTTACCTTTTTTTTTTTTTAGATTTTTTAATAGATGGCTATGTTTTTTTATACGGAGAAAGACTAAAAATTAACATAATAACCAGGATTGTATACTGAATCCATGCATATATAGAAACACATTGTGTCACCATTCTTGTGCTTAGATACATTGCTTCAAAGCTGACAGAAAACGTGTGACGTTACTGAATACAGAATAACGTTATCTTATTCAGAGGTATACAAAAAATATGTAACGGGTCTAAATCGTGTTCGTTATTCTGTTTTCATTCCCCCTGTCATAAATGTTCTATTAATTAGGTCTTTCCTTTAGG